GTCGGAATCCAAGAATATTGGATATCAAAAGAAACCCTTTTTGCAGGAAAATAAAAGAAATGATGGTGGATACTATTTCTTTTATTATGATGAAAAACGAAAAGTCCATATACCACTTCCGGAACCAACCAAGACGAAACCCGTATATCGACATAGGGTATTCGTCGATTGGAACCCCAAACCTAAGTCAAAAGTAAATTCCGTTTTGACTAGGTGAAAAATACCACTTGGTTTGTGGATAGTGGATGTTCAAGGCACATGACCCGAACAAGAGGATGGTTCACAAATCTCAAGGAGAAAAGTCATGGACATGTGACCCTTGGAGACAAATCCAGGAAGAAAGTCATTGGTAAAGGTACGATAGGTATTTCAAGTGATTTTTCAATAAATGATGTTTATCTTGTTGATGGCCTAAAATTTAATTTAATTAGCATAAGCCAACTTTGTGACAATGGCCACAAAATTGAGTTTAATGCAAATTCCTGCGTTTTATATGGCCAAAATAAAGATGAAATCATTTTTGAGGCTAAAAGAGGTGGAAACTTATACAAGTTCAATTCCAATGACTTAATCAACTCAAAAATCACTTGTCTTACTACTTCACTTGAATTTTCAACTTTATGGCACCGTAGACTAGGACATGCTAGTTATGATCGTTTGAGAAAAGTTTACTCAAAAGAACTTGTTGTTGGGCTACCAAAAATGAGCATACCTACTTCTCATTTTTGTGATGCTTGCTCCACTAAAACTATTACATATGGATTTATTTGGGCCCGTAGACATTCAAAGCCTAGGTGGAGCTAGTTTTACTTTTGTAATTGTAGATGATTTTTCTCGTTATATCATTTCAGTGTCCTGTCTTGAGAAAGCAGGATTTTCCATTAATGTCAAAGACAAGTGCCTTTTGTTTTTCAGAAATGATATTTACTATGCAACTGCTAAGATGACCAATGGTCTTTATATCTTAGACTTAGACGCCACTGTTTGAAACGTAGATGTTAAGAGAAGCAAACAAAATAGTTTGAATCTCACATACCTTTGGCATTGTCGTTTGGGCGACGTTAATGAGAAACACATATCTACGCTACGCCAATCTGGCGTACTTGAATCGTTTGACTTTCAGTCTTATGATGTATGTGAGTCTTGTTTATTGGGCAAAATGAAAAAGGCTCCATTTACCGGCCACGCTGAAAGGGCGAGTGACTTATTGGACCTTATACACTCCGATGTATGTGGCCCATTCAGCAATGTAGCTAGAGGTGGCTTCTCATACTTCGTAACATTTACTGACGACCTCAGTCAGTATGGATATGTGTATCTCATGAAACACAAATCGGAATGCTTTGACAAGTTCAAAGAATTCAGAAACGAAGTAGAGAAACAATAAGGCAAAAGTATCAAGACCCTCCGCTTGGATCGAGCAGGTGAGTACTTAAGCCTGGAGTTTGACGACTATCTAAAAGAGCACTGGATCCTATCCTAGCTGACTCTTCCTGGTACACCCCAATTAAATGGAGTGTCTGAAAGGAGAAACCGAATGCTGCTCGATATGGTTCGTAGTATGATGAGTCTGACATCATTACCAGAGTCTTTTTGGGGACAAGCACTATTACCAGCAGCATACACACTCAATCGAGTTCCATCTAAAGCTGTCGAGAGCACGCCGTACGAAATCTGGCGTGGGACAAAACCGAGTTTGTCACACTTTAGGATATGGGGTTGTGACTCTTACGTAAAACTTCTCATGATGTCTAGTAAGCTGGAGCATGTTAGGCTCTTTTATAGTCTTTAAATTCCCTTACATTTACTAATCTTTGGGTCACCATTAGTGAGAATTTGGTTTAATTAAAGATCAAGAAAGAATGTTGACCATCCTATAGGTTAGAGTGCTATTCTTGTGTTATTTTAGGTCCTTTGGGTTAAATGTTAGAATCGGGCTAGACGACCCGAAGTGAAAATAACCAACCCGGCCCATTAGTTAGTATAAGACTAAGGGCGTTGGTGAGAGAGGGGAGTTACGTGAGAGGAGAAAGGAACGAGGGAGAGAGAAGGTGAGATCGAAGGTTCACCAGGAGAAAAAATTCCGGCGACCAGGCATAATCCGGCGAGTTAGACCTCGCGATCGTCATCAACCGTCGCACAATTACCAAGCGCTTTTCCTGATCAGACACTGTAGCCGAACAGAGGAGTCATCATGTTCGCAGGATTTGATCCTCGAACGCTGTCCAGAGGTACTTCGTTGTTTTTGTTTCCAAATTCGAGATACAGTCTTGATGTTTGAGGATTGTTTGAATTGTTGATTCATAATTGAACGTGTGATTTCGTGCTATTCAAATCCGAGTCCTAATCTCTTATTTGGACAATATTTTCCTGTGATCATGTGTTTAAATTGTGAATTGATTATCACGATCATGTCCCGAGAGTAATTCCTCTCTTGTCTGGTGGAAATTTAGGATCAGTTTCAGGAATTTGTGATCATTGCTTTGATTTGAGGTTTAGACAATTGTTGAAGGTTCTTTAATCCTGTTTTGTGCTCTGCTTCTCAAAACGGTTGATTGTAGGTCTCATGCCTCAATTATTCAGTCTGAAATTCTTATTTGGGGTCCAACAACTGGCATATAGTGTATTTGGTTGTCCAAGTATATTGTATGTTCAAAAGGTTTTTTATATAACAGAATTCATGCTTATGTTAATTTGCATGAGGCTCATCCTGAGGTTATTAACGTAGGTACATGTCCTTAGGCAGTGCTCATCTCTCTTAAGGACTGATTTTTGAGGTGGAGATTTAGCTTCTTGCTGAGAGAGCTAAATCCCCTTTTGTTCAACAACTTGTTTAACTGAGAATCTGATTTTTTTACTTTGATCTGAGCAACTGTTCCTAATTCCACCAGACATGCTTGTTCACTCCACTTGATAACCACAAATCTTTACCTGATCTTCTCTCTCCTTCTTTGATCTGTTCTCATTGTTTCTGTTAAAATCTGTTTTCATTACGTAGCATTAACATCTTATGAACAACCCCCCCCCCCCTGCGTGCGTGTGTGTTGTGGAAACTGAGCAATAAATCAAGAGAAGAAATAATAGAAGACAAATCTCCCTGTGGAAGAATGACCCTACTTACCACTTGGCTACCATTTTTATAAGTGTGTAGTAATTGGGGAATAGGTTAATTTGTTGTCACCTGACAAGTGGTTAACAAATTTGTTGATATCTTCTATCTTTTCTAACTGTCATATTAGGTCTTTATAGGTTGTTTTTTTTGTGAACATCTGTGTCATTGTTGAGTTGGCACTAACCCTTGTTTTAAGTGTTGTGTCAGTATCTGCCTTTTGATGCAGTTAAGAAGTGGTTTGGAGACCACAAGGGTAAGTGTTGAATTAAATTTGGAGAATCAGGTCAGTATTTCTGAGGTTGCTACTTCTTTTGATTCTGAATTAGAATCTGAAACTGAGGTAATTGTTTCTCCTTTCCAATCACATAATAACATGGCAACTTTAAGGGAACTAGCTGCACCTGACCTTCAGACCCAGCCCATGTCCATTACTTATGCTGTTTTTAAAAAGCCATTGAAATTAAACTCTGGATTTTTGAATATGCTTCCCAAGTTTCATGGCCTGCCTGGTGAAGACCCTTATAGACATGTTAATGAGTTCCTCATAACATGTGCAGCCATGGAACCTGAAGGAGTTCCTCAAGAGCAAATCAGACTTAGGGCATTTCCCTTTTCAGTGATGGACAGAGCAAAAGATTGGCTGTACTATATGCCTCCTGGGTCTTTTACAACCTGGCCATCACTGCATAGGGCATTCTTAGAGGAGTTCTTTCCTGCCTCTAGAATAGGATCTATTAGGAAGGACATCTGTGGGATAAAACAAATGGGGAATGAATCATTTTCTGAATATTGGAAGAGATTCA